GGACAGGCAGGGTCAGAACCAGGAAATCCGTCAGATAGGCAACAAAAACCAGACAGGGGGCAGGCAGGAACTCGAGATCCGAATATAGGCAGGCAGGGGTCAAAACCGGGCAGGACAAGATAGGATAGAGAGTAACAAATACTGGAGAGCTTGGCAGAAAAGACAAGACAATCTGGCAAAGGACAAGAGATAGTGAGGTGGTATAAGTACTGTGGAGTAATGAGGGAATGAGTAACAGGTGAGGGGAAGGACTGGGGAGGCCAGGTGAGGGAAGTGAGCTGATTACAAGAGCCTGGAGAAAGGCGGGATCTGAAATGACAGGAGAGTTAAAGGGCCCATGTCATGCTTTTCCGGTTATTACCCGTCCCCTTGTGTGTTATGAAGGTTTTTATGCATGTAAACGGTGTGCAGAGTCAAAACCCTCAAAGTACACCCTGTAGCGAGTAAAACTCTAACACAGAAAATACCTCCCCAAAACGCCTCGTTGGAGATACGTCACTGCCCATTTGATTATTCCGGGTACCGCATGATGTCATGCGGTACCCGGAACAAAATGGACCAATCCGGAAGAGCTATGGCCACACCCAGCGGCACTGGCCGCACCCTCTGCCAGCCTAACATTTACTGTTGGAAGCTCTGGTTCAGTTCACAATCGATCCAGTCATGCCACTGCCAAGGACCTGTTTCCTGAAATGTGAGGAGAAATCTGAGCTGTTTGTCCTACCGACGGAAGAACTACGACGAAGTCAGTGGTTGAAATTTCTTTTTAACACTGTTCCTTCAGAGGTTCGAAGAACGTTACTGTGTGCGTGGGCGGCATTTCACAGACGAAAGCTTCCAAAACATTGCCCAGTTTGAGGCCGGATATGCACAGCATTTGAAACTGAAGGACGATGCTATTCCTAGTTTGTTTGGACTGTTTGGAGCAGGGGAAGATTCGGGTACACAACCTGTAAGTTTGCATTGTTATTTGTGTATTTATCAAACAAGGTATCTACCACGACTGTTTAAATGTGTAAACGTGTTTCGGACTGCTAAGCCAGTGCTAACTGTGCTAACTAAGTTGCTAGCGTTTCCATATCAACTCTAATATCAGCAGATGGCCTTACATACATGTATCTCATAGCAGGAGAATGTCTGCATTCACACACAAAATACTCATAGACAGTATACTCCAGGTGATTTACCGTACGGTCAGTCGCGAAACGTAATTACATTATAGCTGGCGTTCCAAGCGTGTATGCTACCGAGCTAAACAACAAGGCTACCAATGGAGCTAGACATGGGTTTGCTCGGGAAAACACTTGACACAGTGCTTACTGGGCTAACGACGTTGCTAGCGTTTAAATATATCAACTACAATGTCAGCAGATGGCCTTACATGTTTGTCATGGCAGGAGAATGTCTGCATTCACACACGGAATACTCATACAGTATACTCCGGGTACATTACAGTTGGCTAGCTAACGAGGCTAGCTATACATGCTAGCGGAAAACATCGTATTCATGCCAGTTACAATGAATGACCGAACTTAGCAGACTACCCGTATAAGATTGCAATTATAAACACGTTATTGCTAGCCTAATATGAACCACTAGCTTTTGTTCATAGTAGTTTTATTACACTACATTATAGTTGCCGTAACTCCGAGCTACCGTTCATATCGTGTTTGCTACCAAGGTAAACAAGAAAGCTAGGTTAGCATATTATTCATGCCAGTTACAATGAATGACCGAAAGTAGCAGACTACCCGTATAAGATTGCAATTATAAACACGTTATTGCTAGCCTAATATGAACCACTAGCTTTTGTTCATAGTAGTTTTATTACTCTACATTATAGTTGCCGTAACTCCGAGCTACCGTTCATATCGTGTTTGCTACCAAGGTAAACAAGAAAGCTAGGTTAGCATATTATTCATGCCAGTTACAATGAATGACCGAAAGTAGCAGACTACCCGTATAAGATTGCAATTATAAACACGTTATTGCTAGCCTAATATGAACCACTAGCTTTTGTTCATAGTAGTTTTATTACTCTACATTATAGTTGCCGTAACTCCGAGCTACCGTTCATATCGTGTTTGCTACCAAGGTAAACAAGAAAGCTAGGTTAGCATATTAGCTGGCAAGCTTACTGTGTTGATTAGATAGATGGATTAGATAGATCCACACTCCTACCACAACTACTACTAACGAATCTAAAACAACTAAGTTTCTCTAATATTTTGTGATTTGCATTTGATTTCGTCCAGCCAGATCAGGAAACTCCTGGCGTATCTGGCGGACAACACACACGGGATGACCCACTCTGATGCCTCGTCCTAAAAAGCCCCGGCAGCCGCTTACAAAGCGGCGATAGGCAAGATGCCGAAAACGCCTATAAGGGGAAGAATGGATGATATACAGCAGTGGTTCTCAACTGGTGGGTCGCGACCCAATAGCAGTGAATACTGCTGAATACACATACTTTACAGAGATGCTGTATGCGAAACCAATGTGAGTTTGGAAAATTGCACAGTATAAATCTATTTTAGTATACCTCAACAATGGAATTATGATCAGTGGAAATGGCCATGACATGGGCCCTTTAACATGAGCCAAACCAAACAAACAACAATAAATGTGTCTAACTTGTGACACATGTACCAGTCTGTTACAAGCACCCACTACGGCACGTAACAAGTCTGTTGTACATGTACTGTACTCAGGGCCGTCCCTCCCTACAGGAAGATCACGCAGACTGCGTGGGGCCTCACCTCAAGGAGGGGGCCTCATCTTGCGGAGGGAGCCTCAACTGAGCCTGAACTGAGCCGCAAATGCGGCGCACTGCGTTTATGCGGTGCAACTAGTGTGGCGCGGCACGGTTTCGCCGCTGCGAGGCTCCAGTAACATAGGGCTGTTGTGTGTGTTGTTTGCAGTGCATGAAGTACTCAGATCTTGTACTTGAGTAAAAGTAGAAGTACCAGAGTGTAAGAATATTCTGTAAAAGTCCTGAATTCAAAATGTTACTCAAGTAAAAGTAGAAAAGTATTAGCATCAAAATATACTCAACACTAGAACCACCAGGGTAAATTTTACCCGCAGCTGTTTCTTGCTTGTATGTAGGCTAACTTTTTTTCAATAAAACATTCAAGTCTCCCAGTCTATGATTTTTCCTGAAAGTGTGTTATGTAGTAGCACCCTCTGTTGTTAAAAATTGTCAATATGAAGTCAGATTGAAAAAATTGCCCAAAAAATTGCCATTTATACCTATCAGCGCCAGCGGGTAATATTTACCTTATAGAAAATGCAGTGATTCTCGGCTACTGATCTCGCGCGTAAACATGACGTGTTGCTATAGCAACGCCTGTTGTTTACTGCGGTTCCTTATAGATAGATAGATAGATAGATAGACACTTTTAGCGATATTTCATACTTCATGCTATCTGCACACTAGATATCATATGAAAGCTGAGAGTCCACAGATTCTATTGGTATACGTTTCATCACTGTGCGATCAAAACTCACTGTTAACCCTGTGTTCTAGTATGATAAATAAAAGAACATTGTAGGGCCTACCTTGAAAATCAATGCATTCTAATAGCGGGTAAACTTTACCCGTTGGCGGTTTTAGGTAGCCTATATACAGTGACCCCTGGCGGTTCTAGTGTTTTAAAGTAGCAAGAGTAAAAGTAGTCAAAATAGCCGCGTTCACACCAAGTACTTTGCCGTACTTAGTGCCGGCACTCAGTGCCCCGGCACTTATTACCCCAGGGCACTTAGTACAGATCGCGTTCACACCGGAATAAATTCCCTGAAGGAAGATTACGCAAATGAGCCGCTGACGTCACTTCGTCTTCTTCTGCTTTGGGTTTACTGGCAGGCCGCAAACCACTTCACGGCGTATACTGCCACCCGGAGTCCCCGGCCGGAAGTCCCCGGAGTTGGGGACTGGCTTCAGTAGAAGCTACTGGGACTCCCAACAGCTTCTACTGAAGCCTTCCGAGTAAATCGCCAGAACGCCGACACCTCCTCATCTCCACCGCTCCCATGTTTTATTTTGTGTTGCCATAAGTTAGTCTCTCTGCGTTTGTGCGCTGGGCGAATGCTAATGCTAATAATGCTAATGCGAGGATAATAAAATGGCGGCTCGACAAAACATTTCAGAGTTTTACGGGGCGTGGTTTGCAATTCGCCCAGCCAATCAGAACTGGGGCACTTTTTTCCCCCAGGAAAGTACCATCTCTCAGCAGGCACTAAACCTGGGGGTAAAAATTCCCGGGATTAAGTGCCCTTTTTGGTGTGAACGCGACATAAGGGGTACTAACGGAACTAAACGCGAAAAGTACGGTGAAAAGTACTCCGGTGTGAAGGCGGCTATTGTGCAGATTGGTCCATTTCGGAATAATATATATGATATGTTTTATAATTATTGATCATTAAAGTGTTATCAAAGCTGGTAAAGGTGCAGCTAGTTTGAATGACTTTGTATACTGCAGGGTAGCTTGTGAATTTACTCCAGGTGGAACTAAAGTCTGATTTAACACTTGATTATATTTCACATCATTCATCCAGATCTGTAAAGTAACTAAAGGTATTAAATACATGTAGTGGAGTTAAAGTACACTATTTACCTCTGAACTGTAGTGGAGTAGAAGTACAAAGTAGCACATAATTAGCAAAGTACAAGTAGCCTACCTCAAAATTGTACTTAATTACAGTAGCCTACTTGATTAAAATGTACTTAGTTACTTTGCACCACAGCTGGTTTAACACATGGACATAAATTGGCTGTGGCACCAGTCGAAGTGCATCATGCATCTCTAAAACACAGAGGGCAGTTTTGTGTGCTGTTTGTTGTTTCAGGCTCCCAGAACCATAATTCCCATTAAGTGCATTAACTCGGCTGTGTTGAAGTGGCTCATTGTGAGCGGGCGGCGGTGTAGCTTTAAGAAGGAGGTGGGCAGCGCTCGATGACGCAGGAATAATCCTGGAAAGATGCTTCAAAACTCCAGGCCGGAGCCAGCGTGTGTGGAGCTGCAGGCTGAGCTGTTTGGACCGCCGACCCGGCAGATCAGAGCTCTGCTGGACAATATTTAGAGCAGGTTCAGATCCTTCGAAGAAACTCTCAATGCAGAGAAAACACACACATTCAGGCAGATTCGCTTTTTTAATACACAGTTATTTACCATTGAGACATTTACTCCCGGCGGAGGGCTTTCTGTGTGCAGCTGTATGTGCACTGCCAAAAACTTGAGGAAAGAAACATCTGAAGAACACCTCTCCAACACTTTGTCCTTTCCTGCAGCGGGACTTGGAGAGGGGCACCATGCCATTCCTCGGCGCACTGTGTGTGTACTTTCTGATCATCCTGAGGCCAGTTATGACAAACAACATCACCGAGGACATAGACGTGTTGGTGTTTCTGCCACAAAATAACTCCTACCCGTTCTCACACGCAAGGGTCGCACCGGCCATCCTTTACGCACAGCAGCGGCTGCAGGCGGAGGGGGGGCAGTACTCCGGGATCCACTTCAACATCCACTTTGAGAACTCCGACTGTGTGAATGGGGCTCTGTTCCTGCTGCTGGACAGGTCGTGCGGGCAGAAGCCGGATCTGATCTTGGGTCCGGTGTGTGAGTACGAGGCGGCCGCGGTGATCCGGCTGGCGTCGCACTGGGACATCCCAGTGATCTCGGCAGGTGCCCTGGCCGCCGGCTTCAGCAACAAGAACACCGAATTCTCCCAGCTGACCCGCATCGCCCCGTCCTACGTAAAGATGGCAGAGACGTTCACCGCGATGTTCGAGCACTTCACCTGGAGGAGCGCGCTGCTGCTGTTCGAGGACGACAAGCAGGAGCGCAACTGCTACTTCACCCTGGAGGGGGTCTACCATCTGATGGCGGACTTTAACATCAAATCATACGCTGTTTCTATGGAGGAACGTTTGGACACTGACGACATCCTCCAAAACATCCATGACACTGAAGGTAAAGCACTTTCCCCTTCTTAAATTCTCCATATAGTAAGACCCCTGTCTCCCACAGGGAGTAGGGTAGTTACTCAGATCTTGTACTTGAGTAAAAGTAGAAGTACCAGAGTGTAGGAATACTCTGTTATAAATAAAGGTCCTGCATTCAAAATGTTACTCAAGTAAAAGTAGAAAAGTATTATCATCAAAATATAGTTAAAGGACCAAAAATATGTTTTATAATGATTGATCATGAAAGTGTTCTCAAAGCTGGTAAAGGTGCAGCTTGAATGACTTTGTATACTGCAGGGTAGCTTGTGAATTTACTCCAGGTGGAACTAAAGTCTGATTTAACACTTGATTATATTTCACATCATTCATCCACATCTGTAAAGTAACTAAAGGTATTAAATACATGTAGTGGAGTAAAAGTAGAAAGTAGTATAAAATGGAAATACTGAAGTAAAGTACAAGTATCTCAAGATTGTACTTAAGTGCAGTAGTAGAGTAAATGTACTTAGTCACTTCCCTGATAGTAAGAAACTAATTCCTTAGCCAAAGTGCTCTTTATATTGCTAGTGTGTGAAATCAACAGACCAAAAACTTAAAGAGATGAAGACGAACATTCTGTAAAAAAAAGAGGAAATATTTACAATGAACTAGTTTAATTAACTAGTTGATTTTATGATAGCAGACACGTTTTCAGATGTTTCAGTTAGACAAATGAAGTGAATATCTTTCTAGGTATCAGTTTTTAAGGTAAATTCCTGTTTTGTGTTACTTTACCTCGACTGCAGCTCATTACACTGTCTACACAGGAACATATTGTATTAGACTTTCGAACCGAATATTGTACTCATATTAACGTATGAAGGTCTATTCAGAAATGTGAATTGTCAGAATAGTTACTGATTATTCATGTCAGTGGATAATCAATGAATGAATTAAAGCTTTTATAAGCAACATTATATGTCATTTGCACAATAATTACAGAGAAGGAGTTGCTGGCAATGAAAATGTGAGTGAAAGAGTTAGTGATTCCTCTAACAATGGTAATTTGATATATGTCAAATTTATATAAAATAAATGGGATTATAAGACCTAAAAAAGTGCAAAGCCTAAATATAAATTTAAAAAAAACGTATTTGTGATAGACAACTTGAGAAGACAAAACTGTAATGGAATGTATATTTTGTGCATAATGTGATATGTGACTTTGGATAATGATAGAGATAGGACATGCATTATAGCTTTAGACTTAATTAATAACTGAAATTAATATTTGATAGATTAAAAATAATCCTTCTCTGCATCCCGACTGCAGAGTGAAGCCGCTTCCTGCATCCCTGCAGGAGCTGAGGGGAACACAGTTAGGTTGGGAATCTGTGGCTTTATCTGTCCTTACCTTCACTGCAGTCTCCGACCCTCAGAGATGAGGGACTATAGCTCTTACAGTCATATCTGAACTCTGTCATCGTCTTATTCTCAGCATTACAGCAGAGAAGGCTCTCAGATTGTCTAGTGAGATAATAATGAGGTACGGGCATAAAATAAGCCACTTTAAATTGAGTAATGAGAATCCCTGACATATTGAAATTATATCCACAGGACCCTTAAAACAAATTGTATAATTATTATGGGGAAAAAGTGAGACCCAGGCTAACAGTAAACATACACCAATTTTGAATATGGAACCAGTCAACATGAATTAGAAGCAGGTGTATCTTATTCCACATAAGGCATAAGCGCAATGGGACTGGTGTAGAATGAGGATGTGTGTATGCTCCAGCAGTTTCAGCTCTGATAGGCAGCTCGTTGGCTACGATCCTGATTACATCACCTCATATCACAAAAGTGGCTGTTGTATAAATTAGCATATATTTTACACGCTAAATGCTGCTGAGCCACAAAGTGCACCTGATGGTGAGGAATTAGTATTCCCGGCATGTGCCTGACTGAGAGGTGTGAAGGGTTTCAGCTGCTGGAGGGGAGGCAGGCCGTTGTTAGCTTGTTTCAGCACATGTATTCAACTGTGAATCAATTCTTACTCACAGATAAAACATGATTTAAGATTTCATATTGATGCTGTTGCATTTCTCAGCTTTGCCAGCGGTAATCAGGCACACAACACTTTAGATGAGATGTGACCATGCTGCACAGTGCTGTCAATCATGCTGTCACACTCACACGCATATATTCAGAATACATTGATTCAAGACCAGACTGCTGGGTTGCCATGAACACAACAATCGTGTGCATGAGCCAAGTGTGACTGCCAAAAGGATCTTGTAAACAATGTCCTTGGTCTGCAACATCATCAGAACAGACATTTTACACTACGCCATTCTGAAGGGCTACTTTAGTTCTGTCTTCACCGTCAAAGCCTTTGAAATCCTCCACAATCTGCACATAACCATGTTGTGTTTTTTATTTATTTATTTCAACTCACTTGAGTGTGTCTCTACAGCATACTGGCGTCCTGAACTCTTCCTTGTGCACAGCAGCAGCCGTCTGTTTATTGGTTGTTTGTCTCAGCTACTGTTTATAGGAGGGTCGAGTCAAAGCGGCATCTTAGGGACTGAAAAGTGAAGCAAGATTAACTTAAACCTGCATTCATTCTAATGGCCAGCAGGGGGCCACTCCACTAGTTGCAAAAAGAAGCCAAATTGTATAGAAGTCTATGAGAAAATGAGACTACTTCTCCCTTAATTAATCACCTCAGTAAATGTGTTTTCTAATGATTCTACTACTTGTAAGTCCTCTTCAACATAATGTGATGTTCATGTTGTAAATGATGGTCCCATTGAGAGCGAAATAGGTGATAAAGAGCCGTATGCTTCAGGGCGGGGCTACCTTGTGATTGACGGGTCACTGACATGGTGTTGTCATGTGTGGGTTCTCTCTGTGTTTCTTTCACATGGTTTTTAACTTAAAAAAATCAAAGTTAATTAAAACATTTGGGTCGCTGTGAAATGTCCCTCAGTTCCGGTTCCAAATAAAGAAGATGTTAACAGCCAAACTCAAGGCTTTAACACTTTGGTTCACAAACCATTAGGTCAACCTCCTAAACTGTGTATGGTCGGGTCGGATCCAGAATACATTTCAAGATTATTGAAGGTACATGTTGGTTCTTGCATTAAGCCTAGAGGGTGCCAGGTGGGAACTGGTTTGAAAACAAGACCCATGCAGGATAAAGGCCTACATGGAAGTTCAGATCTCTTGACCTCTGTTATTCTCCGCATACATTGAGTGCTACCCACAGGATGTTGTTGGTGTGTTAAAGATGAAAACAACATCTGATAACACACACACACACACACACACACACACACACACACACACACACACACACACACCTCTTTTCGTTGATTATTCCATCAAGAGTTGGACTTCAAAGGCATTCCTTGGTTCCAGTCCTCTGCCATAAAACCAAGTGACAGAGACTCCATGACAGTTTGTCTCAAAAATGTGTACAAACTCTGCCTTAAGTCATGATTACCATAAATGCATACATTGTAATGTTTTTCATGCTTAAATTACCAAGGTTTAATAATTTAAATGTATTCCTTACTTCAAAATACAACAGTAATAAATGATGCCAGCATAACTTCTTCTTTGGGATGGATCAGCCCAGCTTTTGTTGGCCTCTGTTGAAGCAGCGAGGTCCCCATGGAGCCTTTAGGAAGTCTTAAAACATCTTGAATTACATCTTTGAAAAATAAGGTTGAAAAATGTCCTAAAATGTCTGGAATTGGGCGGCCCCGGCCCAGCTGTGGCGAACCTGGTTTTGATTCCCAACTGGGGACTATTTTTGCATCCCCTCTTTCTCCCATTTTCAAAGCTGTCAATGCAACGTACCCCGCCCCGGCTTATCATGTTGTTTTCCTCACATTTACATCATGAAAAGTAAATACACTATCTGATTTGAAGTCGATGGAGGAAAACTGGCCTACTGTACCTGGTTCCTTTAATTCCTGCAGGCACCCTGAGGCAGCTGGTCAGGTGTGTGCAGCCTCTGATAGGAGAAGAGCCGTCACAAGGGCTGAGGGCATTACGCACGGCTGTCCACCCTGATTACCGTCATCAAATCTCATGCATATAAAACCAGTCTAAAGCACCCCCCCACACACACTCGCACACAAACACACACACACACAACACACGCTATAACACACATCAGGATGGTCTGTTATAATGTAGAGTTTTGGATTACTTGGACGAGATGATCCTGTTCCGCCTCGTTTCTTACTAACGTCTTTGCAAGCAGCATTTATGTTTCATTCTGCAGATACATAACAGTGAAAACGCAGACCTTTTACCACATTTACCACATAAAACCGGTGTAAATAAAAATGAAATGGCAGATTGATTAACAATTGATTGTATTAATATGCCGTTTAAAGCTCACACATTGGCCTTTGGAGGCACTTTGTTGTGCTGTGTGTTCAGTGGTCAATGTTTTCAACATGCATCAGAGCTACGAGACCAGTGTTGGTCTGCATGAAATGTATTTCTTAATCGCCTTCTGATTAATTGTCCAAATGAACCACTTGGCACTGCTGCACGTTTGACCCAAAATGGCAGGGGATCTCGGTGCAGTCATCTGTTTTCAGTGCATCACTATCTTGTTTGTTTTATGCCGTCACTCGTTTGCCTTGACCCTGGAACCAACAAGAGACATTTCCCCATAGCTGGACATTTGTGCAAATACGTTACAGCAAGTGTAATCCAATTTGCCTGATTGGGAAGTGTTTACTCAAAATTTGACACACAAATCCAACTTGACTTTCTTATGAAACCTGGACCATAAAAGTCAACCATGATCAATTGTTTGGTCATTTCAATAATTTGGAAATGGCTATTATGACATCTACCTTTGTAAAACATCAAAATGATGTGCCATGCGGAACTGAGCACACTTTAATTTGGACGGACCCAAAAACTTGGCTGCCAGTCAATAAACGTCCTAAGTCTTAGACTTCTTGGTTGCCGTCAAATATCAGAAAAATCTGATCTTAT